AACAAACTGCAGTGCTGCCAGAGCCTGTGACCATGACGTCCATGGCGTGATCATCCTCCACCTGTCCACTCCCGCCCCAATATCACCTGTGCACTTTTTGTTTGCCCTGTCCATGGCCTGTCGCTCTCCTCTCTGCCTCCTGTCCCCGTCTGCTAACTGGACTCTTTCTGAACTCGCTCGTGCTCTTCTCACGCCCTGAAACCAAACTTCCAAAAGCCTCTACGTCACGTTGTCATGGAGACAAGGTGAAGGAATGAGGCGCCGATGAAGTCGTTTTGACACGAGCAGAACTGAAACTCCTGTCGTGCACAGGGAGGTTGTGAAGTACATTTCAAAGGTGACCACTAGATGGTGCTGTGTAAATAAAGAACAGAGTGAAACAGCATGATGTGACATCACAGACGTTCTCATGCCATCCTCCTCGTGTATTTATTGAACAATATTTGGCTTCATTCGTCATTGTTTTACTTCAGTTCAAGAACTGTAGAAATACATTTACAATAAAATGCTCAACAACACTTTTGTGATCTCAGTCCCATCTCTTAATTTAGCTTAGGACAGTTTTATTTATTTAGAGATATATAGACACTAATCTGCACCTCGAGTTACAGAACTCTGCACGGCCTGCCGGTTCACATTCACACATTTCTGACAACAAAAGGAAAACAACGTTTATCAGTTTCAACCACTGAACCAGATAAAACCCCAAACCTTATGGTTGAGAGACAACCTACTCGATCACTGAACTGCAAGTTTAGGCCCTAAACTCCACCCACACCTTCACCGCTAAAGGGATGATTTGACACTAGCTTATGTTATGTTAAGTTTATGTTACTGACACTGTTTATGGTACTTTGACTTTAAAGAGGACATATCATCCCCCTTCTCCACCTTTTCAAACAGTCCCCTGGTGGTCTAAATGAAACATCTGTGCTGTGGTCAAAATATAACATGAATCAAGCACCAGAGGAGGTTTGTGACCCTGTATAAACCAGCTCTCTCAGAACGTTCCGTTTTGGTGTGTGTGTCTCTTTAGGTGGAATAAATAAATATAAGCTCTGTAAACACGAGCTTGTTGTTGTTGTGTTGCTGTAACATCAGGAGGATGTGTTGTGACACTAAGCTGCTTATGTTCACCGGGCGCTGTGGACGGGACGGCGAGATTCTGTGGAGCTCAGCAGAACTCCACTTCCTCGTTTTGTTTTCCATCAGGATTAACATTTACATCCAGCTGTGGTCACAAAACATCTCGCCGCTGTAAGAGCACGTGTTTTTACCGTCAGTGTCGGACAAAAATAAGGATTATCATCGACACGTCTGTCCAAACAAGAAAACAAGACGACATGACGCAGATTTTATCACAATGTTTTATTTGTTCAGAAACATCTCACGCCATAATAAACAACGTGCTCTTTAAAAATGTGAACGCTAAAACATAAATAACAAATAAAACATATGAACATCTCTCCAAAAGAAGATGACTAAATATTTAAACATCATAAACATCGATTTTGTTTCGTGGTCGAGACGCTACGATCCATCAGGGCCGATGCTGACGTTTGTTTCATCAGACTCCCACAATGCAACGCTCTCTCTCCCGTGTCTGCTCTTCTTAACCTCGAGTTTGCATTTAATGAACATCTGGAACACTGAATCTCACATTAACCTTTTAGATAAAGAAACCTTGAAACTTGTTTGAGGATGAAAAATGTCAGACTTTGTCCGACCAATCAGAAACCTCCTCTCTGAATCAGTGGTCACCATAAAATCTGATGTAGAAGAGACTGATTTTTTCATCTGGAAAGTTGGCTCCATCCAGCAGAATAAAACATGCACCGTCGCCACCACCAGAACACACTGCACGCCACACGAGGTGATTGGAAATCCTCTCGAGCTGTGCTGGGAAACTAAAGCCCCGTTTCCACCAAGCGGTCCGGTTTGGTTCAGTACGGTTAACCCTGATCTTACTGGTGTTTCCACAGACAACCGCTCCCTGACTTTGTAAGCTACGTAGTGGCGTGGGCATGGAGTGTATTCTGCAAAAAAGTTCAAGGACGAAGAAGAATGGGACATCACCTCCGAGGTCGTCCATGGCATCCCAACAGAAGAGGGTAAAAAGAGGATGGTATGGATCGGTTATTTTGGTTCCTGACTTTTGAGAGTAAATGTGTACCGTACCGCTTAGTGGAAACGAGGCTAAAGCGACTTTTTACCATCTTTTCTCCGTCATGAGGTCACCATGGTTTCAATAAACGGTTCAGTAAATAAATAAAGCTTGTGGAGGTTAGATTGAGAAGACTCCTTAAAGTCAATGAGTGAGCAAAGGAGGTGGAGAGCACAGGTCTCATCACAGCTAGCTCAGCTAACGTACTGCAGCTAGTAGGAGTGCTAACTCCACAAAGTGAAAACAGCAACACAGCTGGAACAGAAATCATCACGCAGGACTACAGTTTCAACCAGTTGTCTCTCTGGAAGACTTCTCGTCTTGTAGTCCAGATTTACAGCAGGTGTCCTCGACGTCAGCATTCAATTGATTTGGCACAACAAACAAACATTGCCTCATTATCTGCTGATGTGCAGACGTCTGTAAGCAGGTCAATATCCTCTCATACCTTATTGGTGTAATAAACAGAGAAAACACATTTTTGCAGGTAAAGTGTGGACGCTGAATGAAACAGCTTTTTTTTAAATTTATAGAGAAACTCTTCGGAGACAAGAGGATCTGCTGCAGCTCGCTCTGAGCACTCTGACATGAAGAGAGCGAGGAGCAGCTCTGACTGTTCACACATTGTCACATCCAATGTTTGTGATAACCTCCTCTCTTTAGACTCACATCAGTTAGTCACATCCAGATGTTTGTGATAACCTCCTCTCTTTAGACTCACATCAGTTAGTCACATCCAGATGTTTGTGATAACCTCCTCTCTTTAGACTCACATCAGTTAGTCACATCCAGATGTTTGTGATAACCTCCTCTCTTTAGACTCACATCAGTTAGTCACATCCAGATGTTTGCGATAACCTCCTCTCTTTAGACTCACATCAGTTAGTCACATCCAGATGTTTGCGATAACCTCCTCTCTTTAGACTCACATCAGTTAGTCACATCCAGATGTTTGCGATAACCTCCTCTCTTTAGACTCACATCAGTTAGTCACATCCAGATCGCACAAACAGTAAACACCAGGATGATCAGATGACTCATAAGCTCGTTTGAGGCCCAGGGAGCGTCGCAGCCCTGCAGGATGTAATCCTTTGTTCAGAGATCAGTTCAAAACACAAACAGACGATTAACTGGGTCAGTATGTGGGGCAACCCACCAGAAGCTCAGAGAACCAGAGGGTCACGTGAGTGCACACAAAACGCAGCCAGGGAGGGGACGCGGCATTAATGACCAAAAAGAGGTTTGCTCAACACTTCTGAAACAGTCCTCGCTGCGATCACTAAAGCTTTCTAACAATCCAGAAGAAGGAGGAATGATCACAAGGTTTTAGTCACATGAAGATTTAGTGCAAAGATGACTGACAGCTCCTCATAGCCAAAGAATCTGCTCGAAATCTGACATGTTGCCATCACTTTATTATTCTACAAGTCTGATTAAAAAAAGTCCGGCGGTGCAAAAGATTCAGACTTTGGCAGCTACACATCTTTAGAGGTGAACTGTTCACAGTTTAAGACTGAGCATATCATGACCTGGAGACACTAAGCCAAAGTAGTGACACTTTTCTCCCGAAACAGAGGGGACAGAAGAGAATTCTCGGACCGGGTTTGAATCCGACCTAAACCTTTGAACTTGACCAGGGCACATTAGCAAACACATTGACATGAGAATCTAGCGACTTCCTTGAGACACAAACAAAAGCTCAAGTCAGATTAAGCCTTGGTGGTTCTTGCATAATTGATCCATTATTAAAGCCACACAACGCTCACAAGATGTTTCTGTGATGACACACGTACAGAAATATTCACCGCTGAAAACAGAAACAAAAACAGCTGTAACTAAGGACATTAAGAGGTGAATCAGGAGGAGGCGTTCAGGCCGACAGTACACTGTGGAAATGTTCCTCTGACAGACGTCTTGACAGAGAGGAGTGCAGAGGTCGTTCACAGACCTTCCTGCTAAGTGCTGATTGGACGAGAACCTCTATGAGGACGCATTTAGAGCCCACTTCAGGAATGGAATCGTTCAACGCTTCATTCTTGGTTAGAGAAAGAGTTTAAGAAAACACCATAAAAAAATCCAAACATCATCAACAGTGCTGGCATGCATCGCTCTGCAAATTGGGAGAGGTCTCTGCATGTCGTATGCAGACCTCAGAGTCCACAGTGTTTTTATTGCACAATCTCAGGCTGATCTAATGCAATCGACGCTGCTCGTCCACGCTTGCATCAGATGTAAAACACAGGTGCAAAAACACATCTGGAAAGATTAAAGTTTGATGTTTTTATCTCAGCGTGCTGGCATCCCGACGATGGAATGGAAAATCCTTTCCACACCGGATCATGGAATCTTAACGCTGCTCAACAGGCAGAAAACCCCGGACCTGCTGCACTGCGATCATCTGAGGACTGCCAATGAGTCGTCGAGCTAAACGCAGCAATGATTAGAGCTGAGCGGGGCGGCTGCGGCTCAGTGGTAGAGCCGGTTGTCTCTCTTTGATCCCCAGCTCCTGCAGCAACATGTCCCACTTAACCTAAGTTGCTTCCGCTGCTTTGTCGTCTGTGCATGAATGGGTTGCCATGGGTTACACAGCAGCCTCTACCATCATTGTGTGAATGTGTCAGTGTGACCTGCGGTGTTACAAATGCTCTGAGTCGTCAGAAGACAAGAAAAGAACTTAACAAGCTCATCGCTCTTTGCAGTTATTTGGTCGTTGGTTCTCCTGCTGTCACGGCCCTCTAATGTCATCATTGTATCCACGTGACACACAGAGGTGCTGGGTGCACCCACAGGAGGACGAATAAAAAAATTGCAAAATGAAGTCAGTACTGATGGGCAGAGACGACATGTTTCAAATAGAGACAAAAAAAAAAGAAGCCCACACAAGTCTCTTCAAAGGCTTGCTGGCAAGTCTGATGCATCCCCACTGCTGTCACGCTCTCATACTATACTCTCATTGGCCGACTTCTTCATCAGTTTGGTCGAGAGCAAGGAATGCTGGGAAGAGTTGGAGTCCTTGGCTACAGGAATGAGCAGGCGTACTTTCTGGTTTGTTCTCCTCCACTCCGAGTAAAGCTGACAGTGGTAGCGGAACGACACCTGTGAAGTGAAGAAGGAGACTGTTATGAGGTCGTTAAAGTCCTCTAAGAGGTCTTCATCTCTGTGTGTGTTCATGTTTACCAGAGTCCACAGGACGTAGATGGTGAAGAGGGCGATGGTCAGGGCTATGAGGCCCACAGCCTGCAGCCAGCTCCCCAGCTGAAGGTGGTCCTGAGCTCCCCGCAGGCACAGCCAACCTGAGATAGCTGCTAGAGGAGTGATGAACAGGAAGCACACCATGTCACAGAACAGCGTGCTCTTCTCATTACGAGGGCCGGGGTCCCGCAGCCACTGTGGGAAAAAAAGAAGTAGGAGACAGGAAATCAGAAAAGAGGGAGAGGAGAGATCTTAAAGTCAATCAGGAACACAAAGACGAGACAGACGGACAGACAGCAGAGATGAGGTGCTTCACAAACTTATATCATACTGTTAATATCAACGACGAAGCCTGAGTGTTCCTGCAGGGGGCGCTGGAGTCCCATCGATGGTGGTCTCCATGCTGGAAATGCTGTTTCAGTCTAACTTTCAGTCAACCTAACGACAGGCTGAGAGCTGGAGCTGAGGCGGGTTTTAAACCTCCTGACAAACCGTTACACCACGCCCACCATCAAATCAAAACTGATGAGTCATCAAAACATTCACCCCCCGTACAGTGTGTGTCCATCGACACATGAGCTAATCACACCTATTTGGTTTTTTGAACCAGGCTGTAAACATGTTAATCTCTGCTGTAAAAACAGACTTTTTAGAATGGGTGTGTATGTGACTTCCTGTGCTTCTGCAGCCAGCCTCTAGTGGACACTCCAGGAACTGCAGGATTTTACACTTCAGCATCTGCTTCATTTTACAAGACTGGAGGTTGCTGCTACACAATCAAACGGCAGTAAAAGGAGAAAGATTCATGCAGACAAGGCGGAGGGCATTGACCTTTGTTACCTCTGTGAGAGGCCTCGGGCGGCGCTCAATGCTGAACTCGGTGTGGCAGAGCTCACAGTAGCTGGTGTTGGAAGACGACAGCCACCTCTCCAAGCAGCTCTTGTGCACGGTGCCCAGGGTGCCTGTGCAGTCACAGGGAGATAGGAGAACCTCACCGCTGCCTCCTTCATGGCAGATGCGACAGATGGGACCATCACTGAGACAGAGAAATGTTTACCTTAAGTTTGATGGCGTTATGTGGGGCGAGATGATTCTTTAAGTGAACACAGCTCAGTTACTGAAGAATCAATCAATAGTTAGAGGACTGATATCCCAGCAGGACCTGTAAAAAGGTGTCCAAAGGTGTCCACCTTCCATTAATGCACTGATCCACTGTTTTATCTACTGATACTGAAATGTATTTAGATAATAACATGGAGTAGTTGGTGTTGCTTTCATGTGTAAGGTGTACTAAACCTGGCGTTGCATAAAAATGAACATGAAAAAATACATCTGCACTCTGTGCTTCACATACAAACAGGAAGCAGCAACAACTGTCAGGTTTTTTTAAATTAAAAGTTTGAATCTGAAGTGTAGGAGTTGATCACTGGAAGGAGCTGTTCCATCTGGTCTGAGCGTCGTCATGGAGACAATCTGTGGACTCTTCTTACAGTTTAGTGTGAACGTCTTCAAAGAGAGAGTGAGCGAGCTGAGGACTATCTTTCTGGATCAGTGATGCACATCGGCACGGTCAGTATCTGTCCCATCTCTAACTTTTACTTTCTCCATAAGGCCCTCTCTCCTGACTTAATGACTAAAAAGTGAACTCTTACATTTGTGATCCGACGGGTTTCAGCACGGAGGAGAGCAGCTGTCCGTCGATGGCTGTGACCTGGGTGACGTAAAGTGCCTGGCACCCGTCGCCGCCCGCCTCCTCCACGCTCTTCCACAGGCCCGTGCTGCTCGCACAGTCACATAGGGAGCCGGGCAGGTGGCAACAACCCCCTGTCGTCATGGTTACAGTGGCCAGACACTGGCCGTGGGGGGGCGTGCGGTGAGGATGTAAGAAGGATCAGGGTGATGCAGGCGACTCAGACTCTCTCCGCAGGTCAGGAAGGGTTTGATTCTGCAAACAGAGACAGAGATGGATTCATGTGAAGAGTCGTACTGCGCCTGTGTTTCTGTGATTTAAAGGAGTCGTATTTTTGAAGTCTCTTCATTCAAGTTTCTGCTTCAGTTATTGTTCAGATAAATTATGAAGTCATCATCATAAATCCAGATATCCAGACGATCAAACTGCGGTTAAATTAACCCTGTTTTTATGAAACGGAGCCAGCCTCTAGTGGACACTCAAGGAATTTATTGCACTTCAGCATCGGCTTCATTTTTCAACATCCGCTTTGTCCATGAGGAGCTACACCCAGCACGACATTACCGCCCAAACAATTAATGCCACAACTTTAATGTCCATAAAAGAAAAGGTTCATACCATTTTAAGAACGGGGGCTTTACACATTTGAAACAGGCAACGATAAATAAATAAAATGTTTATTTGTTGTGTTAATTCTGAGTATTTAGGTTCAAATCAATTTGTTATGATTAAATTTAGGATGGACCATGTTTTACCTAACCTTAACGCCTACCCCCCATGCCCCCCACCCCTTAAGGGTGGCCTTGAACATCAAGACCAAAAAGGTATTTACAGTCCTGTTCAGTCGTTTCCCTTCATGTGAGTGCAGCAGACGTTTTGTCACGTCTTCATTTAGGTGTCGTTTGCAGAAAGCTGCTGATCCAGAATAAAAAGCCCGAGCAATCGTCACTGACACTGCATGTGACGCTGCAGCAGACTGATAAACAGCTGTCACCCCTCTGATAACTCCTCACTGAAGATAGGAGGAGGACCTTCCTGCTGCTGCTGGAGGATCTTCTGCACTCTGACACAACACAGACATCTTTATGAAGAATGTTTTCTAAATGATGAAACTAAGACTAAGAACAGAGACGTCTGACTGATCTTCCAATAAATGAGGCCAGCTTTTAAACTCAAACATGACCACATGACACAGGACGGTGGCGAGTGTGGACATGACCAGCGGCCATGTTTGTTTGTAGAAGACGCGGCTCTGTCCCTGTTAAACCCCATCATTACATCCAAACCTGTGTAATCCTGTGTGCTAAACGCTGCAGCTGCTGTTGTTGTTGTTTTTAGGTTGAAAACAGACGCTGCTGAAACTCTTGAGTCAATACAACAGATTAAGCTTCGACGTCCGCTCGCTCTCATTGGCTGCTGCAGGTGTTCTGTAGGAGGAGTCACGAATATCAAACTTGATCAGGAGCAGTGACGCCACACACTGAAGGATTCTTTGGACAAATAATCGGATATGACCTGCCTCGTATTAGGCCACGCCCCCCGGACGTGGTTGGGGTAAATCGGGCAAAAACCTACATTAAAAACGAGCGCAACATGCAGTCATCGTTAAATATCGCCTTAAAATATGACACAAGCCTGAAGGCTGTCCCGCTCAATGTGAAGAACCTGATGCAAGTATTTCAGCCGTCAGATTTAAAAAAAAATTTGTATTGTTTGATCGCCCGAGATCATTTATATTCAGGGGGCCGGATGTGAAGTTTTGGGGGGCCTGATGTGGACTGTCATCACTGGATTAGACACTACAGTAACATACCGTAAAACTTGAAATAAAAGTTCATCCCCATTTAAGGACAAGTCCTTTTTACTCGCCTGGTGTTTCTGAACGTTAAGACAGACAAAAGCAGCTCCCTGTTAGAGAATGAACTTCAACATCTGTCCAAGAAAGACAGGATGATGCTCGTGTGTGAGCACTGTTTAATATTATTTCTGGTGTAATAATTACAACGACTCTTTCCTGTCCTGTTTACTGTCTCATATTGACTTCTGTCCTAAATACAGGAAGTGTCTCTTCATAGACAAAAGCGTCACCACATTAATTTAGAAACGAATCGTGGAGCTCCCCGTGATTTTAATAATGACTTCAGGATAGTTAGGAAACATCTCACGAGGATCTGACTCAACACAATAATGCTTTAAAACTAATTAAAAGCCTGGGCCATTAATAGAAGTTCCATCAATGAGTAAAAAGCATGTTGCTAGTGTTTGTTTAAGATGCATATTGCAGAGGGAATCAAAGAGTTTGTGTAGGTTTTCTCAGGTTTCAGGAGCGGTTGATGACAGCACGCATGGATGTTGTTCCGAAATATAAAGAAAAAGTGGAGTAAAAATGAAAAAAGTACTATTTATTGATTTAAAATAATCCTACTTCAATAAAGATCTAACTCAGACCTCCCTGACAAAGCTGACATGGTCTGAAATCATGCCCATGCTGTAAATGGTGATTTCAGGACATTTAAAGGTACATTTCACAAAGATATGACCCTTAACTGTTATGCCGAGAATAGCGTCCCTGCAAATAATGTCCAGCACCTAGCGGAGGTATTTGAAACCGGTTTAAATCTTATATCTGGGGGCAGATATTTGATGACAAAGTCTGTGGAGTTTACACTCAATAAAGGTATGTGTACTTATTGTTTTGTAGACTCTTAGAAGACGCATTTTCATTAGCTTGTGTGAATATTAGCTGCAAACAGTGTTTGACTCTAAAAGCGTCAGTGGAGGAAATGTGTTTGCCATATTTATGACTTTGTGTTGCTCTGTGAGGTGTGTGGCAGGGATGCAATTCTCGGCATAACACCAGAAAAATAACCTACTGCGTGATCTCGATACAAAAGCGTTTAAAAAATGAATGAAGTCAATGCTGTTCTCGGCTTCCGTAGTCTGAAAACAGTGGGTAGTAAATTAATTGTACCCCCACAAATAAACTGCGCAGTGTCATTAATTAGCCGTGTGTATATATTTTGTATTATTGTGACATGTTTAAGACATAAGGAGCCATTTCATCTTGTACACCTTGATACAGCTGTGTGGCTTGCTAGCTGTCATTAGCTGCAGAGAGCTACTAGCAATATGTACGCCGTAAAAATGAAAGTAAATAACAGGTACTCACCACTGTCCTCTTCTTACAGATGTTTTCCGGTCACAGCTGAAAGTATTACCGTCCTAATAACGCCATATTTCCGTCCAAAGTCGGCTGTGTCTACGTTACATGTAACAGCATTGTAGACAGCGCAGCGCCTATAGCCAGCTAATGAGCTAGCAGCTGATAGCACACACACACACACACACACACACAGCAGCGGGACAGGTTTCCCAGGACTTTAAAGAACACACCCCGCAGTCTCTCCTTCATCTGATTGTCTGTCTGGGAGCAGACGAGCAGGAGACAAACACAAACCCTGAAGATGTGTGAATAACAACAGCTGGCCAAAGGGAAGGAGGGGCGTCCACACAACAACATCATCACAACAAATACAGTAGAAAACAGTAAAAAAAAAAACACGAGGTTTAATGATTTATATGAAGCTTTAAAAACAAACAAATAATACCAATGTAAGTTCCTCTGTTTCATTTTGTTTTTTTATTGAAATAAGTAATATTTTAATATCAAAATGACAGTTATTATAGTAGAATGTAATAGTACGGAGCACCTGAAGTCCAAAAAAGTGAAAACATAAATAAATATATAGTGCTAAAAACATAATATCTTGAGCGTACAAGTTAGATAATAAACAGCAAGGAACAAGATAATTACCCTGTGTGCACAAGATAATTATATTATGATTGAGGTACCTACAGTCTCTAAATGTACTATGGGAGGTAAAGCCTTCAGTTATCGGGTTCCTCTCCTCTGGAATCATCTTCCAGCCAGGATCCGGCAGGCAGACACAGTCTGTATTTTTAAGAATAGACTTAAAACTTTCCTTTTTGATAAATCTTATAGTTGGGGCTGGCTCAGGTATGGACCACCTCCTAGTCATGCTGTTATAGGCTTAGAATACCGGGGGACCTTGAGCTCCTCTCTCTCTCTCTCTCTGTGCATATACATCATATTACTGCATGTTGCTATCTGTAATTCTAAGGTAATAACCACACCTTTTCCTGGGAGCTCCTGAGCTCTTTCAGTTTCCTTGGGGTTCATTGGTGGGGAATAAGGCCTGCTGCTATGGAACACAATCATTAACTTGTGTGCACAAGATATTTTTACCTGTTAGACTCCAGGTGCTTCATACAATCAACAATAAGTGTTTAATAATGTCTCAAAGAGCACAAGTGATACCTAACAGACCCTGGACAGACTTTTCAGCAATGTTTGATTTAACAACTAATTTTTATATTGCTCAGATACATCACCAGTATTAGTTTGAGCAAAGAGGATGGAGAAATTAATATCACACATTTGAAGGAGTCTGCCCTAAATGCACATGGCATTAACGAGAAGCTGCAACTTAACTCAAGATTTAATCTTGTTGGAGAGCATATTCTGCATGCACTTTGTACAGACATTTCTACTTATGCTGTGACCTCCCTTCAGTTCAAAGCTAAGCTGCTAAATAACAGAATTAAGATAAGGGTACATGTAAGTCTGTCAGCTGTGTAGTTATGTGGATTAGATTTATTTGATGACGTGATGTGAATATTTGTAATACTTCAAGTTAATCAAAAATAAAAGCATCTTTCCCATGTGAATGAAAACGAGACATTTTAAATGGAGCAGTATGTAACTCTGACCCCTAGTGTTTAAAATGGGTACTGCAGTCTAAATTCTAAACATTGTAGAGAGCTGTCTCCTGCTCTCATATCTGGCAAACAGAGGGTGGTGTGTGTGTGTGTGTGTGTGTGTGTGTGTGTGTGTGTGTGTGTGTGTGTGTGTGTGTGTGTGTGTGTGTGTGTGTGTGTGTGTGTGTGTGTGTGTGTGTGGCGCTTACCTTCTCTGGTCCAAACAAATCCAGAGCATTCAGGAGCAGAATCTAAAGTTAGAAGGAGGACATACTGACTGCTGCATTGTTGTCAGAGAAGCCAGCACTTCAACATAGCATGTTTCCTTAATGTCTGATCATATAGTAAGATCACTTTATCATTTCACATCTCACTGATTGGACCTTTAAAGCAGCTTGAGTCTCTTATGGTTCAATGAAGAGCTTCTCAGAATGATTACAAACATCTTTATCTTTTTTTCCCTTTAACAGATTTCACATTCAAACACTTCAAACAGCAAAGGTTGTTTGAGTACATGAGGAAGCTTAAGACAAAGAAATCAACACATTACTTACATTTCTGTTTTCAGACCAACAGGGATGCGTGACTCGATTAAGAAGTCGAGTGTTTTTTTAATCTTTTGATTTGAAATTGTCAGACACAAGTGCAGAAGAGGAACCTGATCTCGACCCAGGCTGTTACTTTAACTTCACAAATAAAATTTAAAAAAAGCACATCATGTTTAAAACATTTCTTTATCCATACAGCTTTGAAACTTTTTATGTAAACAGCTCTGATTAGTTCTGCAAATACAGCGATGAAATGCAACCTTAGCAGCCGAGAATAGGCTTCAATGAAAGTGAGGACAATGGCATCCGTCTCCTTTGGTATTTTCTGTGCACCGACGCATGCACGCACGCACGCACGCACGCACGCACGCACGCACGCACGCACGCACGCACGCACGCACGCACTAATAACCCTTCATCTGTTTCCCTCGTATTCAGTCAGACAGTCACCGTCGATTGGGTCCCTGTGGCTCATGTTTATTTCACGCCACAGTGGTCCCAGGGCTCACACAGGAAAATTAAAAACTGAAGACGCAAACAGAAACTCCAGACCAGAGTACACATTGTGGTGCCTTCTCCTCGTGGTGCGTGATAGGCAGAATCAGGTCGACCACACACGAAATTGGGACTCACTCTGCTGCAGCAGATCGTGACAGAAAGTCTGTTTCAGTGAAGCTGAAAAAGAGAGGAATAAAAACTGTGACGCACACGCCTACTGATCCCTCGCCATTCCTTCAGGAGGAGCGGGTCAAAGGGACCGCAAGAGCGACTTCCTTTAAAAAAAACATTTACTACGGCTTTAGGGTCAACTTCAGAATAGCAGAAACTTCCCCTCTCGCAGAGCTAACGTGAGGCCCTTAAGTGGGTTTGTGTTCCTCAGAGGAACAAACAAACAAACAAAGAAGGAGAGCAAAAGGAATGTCAAATACACGAGTGTCAGAGACTTCAGAACCCGTTGAGGGTTTCATGACGACGGCTGCATGACAGCTGAAGTTAACAAGAGGGGAAGAAGAGAGGAAAGAGTGAGAGAAAGTCAAACAGGAAGTGGACATGAGGGCGTCACAGGCTTTGGCAGCAGGGGAGTTTGCCCTTCTGCCCGTCCGTGGTCGGGGGGAGGCTAATGTCCACTACGTTGTTTCCTGGAGACTCGTCGTGTCCAGATCTGTCAGATATTTGCTTCTGAGAGACGATGCGGTAGATTTCTACGAGAGAGAGAGAGAAAGAGAGAACAGTGAGTGTTAAGTAGAGTTTGGAGTGGAAGGTTTAACGTCAGTGGCGTGCTCGACGATTTACCTGTGAGAATGTTTTTGAACGCTTCTTCTACATTAGTGGAGTCCAACGCCGAGGTTTCAATGAACGACAGAGTGTTCTTCTCTGAGGGCGAGAAAGAGAGGAGACCAAAATGATTCACACATCAAAGCAGTTTTATAACGCTGCTCACGACTGTGCGTCCAGACTCAGGAGCTTTTGCGGTGGATTTCAGAGAGACCTTCTGACTGTGTGCAAGCTAACATGCTGCTAACAGGCTGCTGACGAGCTAACAGGCTGCTGACGAGCTAACACACTGCTGACGAGCTAACAGGCTGCTAACGAGCTAACACGCTGCTGACGAGCTAACAGGCTGCTAACACACTGCTGACGAGCTAACAGGCTGCTAACACGCTGCTGACGAGCTAACAGGCTGCTGACGAGCTAACAGGCTGCTAACACACTGCTGACGAGCTAACAGGCTGCTAACACGCTGCTGACGAGCTAACACGCTGCTGACAAGCTTACAGGCTGCTAAGGAGTTAACAGGCTGCTGACGAGCTAACAGGCTGCTAACACACTGCTGACGAGCTAACAGGCTGCTAACACGCTGCTGACGAGCTAACAGGCTGCTGACGAGCTAACAGGCTGCTAACACGCTGCTGACGAGCTAACAGGCTGCTGACGAGCTAACAGGCTGCTGACGAGCTAACAGGCTGCTAACACACTGCTGACGAGCTAACAGGCTGCTAACATGCTGCTGACGAGCTAACAGGCTGCTGACGAGCTAACGAGCTAACAGGCTGCTGATGAGCTAACAGGCTGCTAAGGAGCTAACAGGCTGCTGACGAGCTAACAGGCTGCTGACGAGCTAACAGGCTGCTAACACACTGCTGACGAGCTAACACACTGCTCACGAGCTAACAGGCTGCTAACACACTGCTGACGAGCTAACACACTGCTGACGAGCTAACAGGCTGCTAACACACTGCTGACGAGCTAACAGGCTGCTAACACGCTGCTGACGAGCTAACAGGCTGCTGACGAGCTAACATGCTGCTAACACGCTGCTGATGAGCTAACAGGCTGCTGACGAGCTAACAGGCTGCTAACACGCTGCTGACGAGCTAACAGGCTGCTAACACGCTGCTGACGAGCTAACACGCTGCTGATGAGCTAACAGGCTGCTAAGGAGTTAACAGGCTGCTGACGAGCTAACAGGCTGCTGACGAGCTAACGAGCTAACAGGCTGCTGATGAGCTAACACGCTGCTAACGAGCTAACAGGCTGCTAAGGAGTTAACAGGCTGCTGACGAGCTAACACGGCGCTGACAAGCTAACAGGCTGCTAACGAGCTAACAAGCTGACGAGCTAACAAGCTGACGAGCTAACAGGCCATTTACTTCAATTCAATCAAGTTTTAAAGCGAGTTTGTAGTATTAAAAATAACTTTTTTTGTAGAGTTTAATACGGACTAAATTAGCCCCTCCCCCGGAGCTTCACGCAGGTTTCTCTGTCTGCAAAAAAACGTGTTCTTCTTTGCGTTGTATGAGGAGGCATCATCTGAATATTTACTGATCTACGGACAACAGATACATACGTAAGTGGAAGCCGTTATAAACGCCATTCTGTCTCCTACGAGACAACACTTGACACCTCACCTGAGAAAGCTCGAGCCTCATCAGTGGGCACGGCCCTGAGATGACGAAGGTCGCTCTTGTTTCCAACCAGCATGATGACGATGTTGTTGTCAGCGTGGTCCCTGAGCTCCTTCAGCCAGCGTTCAACGTTCTCATAGGTCAGGTGTTTGGCAATGTCATAAACTAGGAGAGCGCCGACTGCACCCCGGTAATACCTGGTGACGACAACACGATGAAGAGAAAGGGTTAAAAAATGACTCATGGAGACGTTCTCTACC